TCGCACCCAGGGCATTTCCACAGCCTCTGGCTCTGCCAGCAAACCCGACCTACAGCAACTCCCGTCCCCTCCGCTGGGGCTGCGAGTGCTCAGCGCCTCTGCCGACCTCCCTTCCCACATCCCGCATCCATCCCTGCCCTGCTTCCCGCTCCCGCCTCGCTCCGGCCATTCCCGGCACCCCGAGCAACCTCGGCAAGGGCAGCAGAGCACGGAGAAGATCCCTGCATGCCCCTCACATCGGGAAAAGCATCATCCTGCCAGTGCCCTGCTGCTTCCCGGCCCTTCCTGTATGGATCAAACATCTTTGGAAACATCTCGCACGCGAGGAGGCTTCGGCCACCGCATGATACCCTGCAGGACGGGCCGGACCCGGCGGTGGCGGCGGGAAGTGGCCGCGAGCGCCCGGCCGAGAGCCCCGCTCTATTGCACTTCTCTGCCACTCAAGTGTCACCAGTTTCACCCACGGAGACAGGAGGGAAATGCTGGGAAAGGGGTGGGGGGACAGCAGAGTGCCGGGCAGTGCCGGGCACAGGGCAGCGAGGGCGGCAGCGCTCCAGCTTGCTCCATCCTGTTTGCTTTCCAGTGTGAAACAAGGTCCATGACTTTGCTTAAAGTGGTTAATTGGCATTTTTTTGTCTTTTTTTTTTTTTTTTGTAAAAAGGGGGTGAGTGGAGGGTGGGGGAAGCGGGAAGGAAGGAAGGGGATGGGGAGGGGACAGAAAACCGGGAGCGACCCCCACCCTGTTACCCTGGGTTGTAAACGAATCCTCGGAGACGAGTCTCTGAGCTGCTCATTTCTCGGGAATCTTGCCGGCTCCGGCCTTGCGGTGAGCAGGGGCCTTGGGCTCACGCTCCTCCGCGCCGGCGCTGCCGCGGGAGCCTTCCCAGGGCTCCGGCGGTTTCTTGTGATTAGTCTTTGCTGTCACGCTCTCTCTGCCTTTCAGGGACATTTCCGGAGGCCTCTCCTTGGGTTTCCTCCCTCTTTTCTTCCCGCTTGTGCTTTTCTTTTTCTCCTCCTTGCTGGAAGAAAGCTGTTCCCTGCTTTTCTTTTTCCGGCTGGCCTCGGCGGAGGTCCGGAACCAGTTCTGTGCCCGGGGGGAGACGGGGGCGGCTGGTTAGGGCCCTTCCTCAGCTGACGCGCCCGGCACGTGCCGACCGCTGCCGTGCTTCCCAAACGGCGCCCGCTGGGAAGCGGAGGCCTCTTGGACAAGGAGCTGGTGGCACCGAGGGGGTGGCAGGGACCCGAATGGCGCCAGCAAGTTCCCCCCTGGCACAACCGAGCCCGAGCGGTGCTGGGCGCCACGCGGACAGGCCGGAGGAGACGGACAGCAACCATGGGCGCATTGGAGCAGGGAAGAGCCCGGGGCAGCCCCGGGCACGTCCTTACCTCCGAGTGAGCCTTGATGATGTGGTACTTGACGCCGCTCTCGGAGCTGAACTCCTTCTGGCACAGCAGGCAGCGGTACTTGCCCACCGAGTGGTCCCCCTGCAAGACAGAGCGCCCGGGGCAGCGCGGAGCCCGCAGCGCCGGGAAGGAGGCACCAAGCCATGGACAATATGGGAAACCACCCTCCTTTCCAACCCTCCTCCTCGGTGCCGGGCTAGGAGTCACAACTGCAGCAGGTCTCAGCTCCCACCATCCGCCTGCCCAGGCAGTGCTAACACGGCTGGCGATGCCGGCACAGCAGGAAAACCAGGAATCTGAGACTGGTTCCTGCAGGCTCGGGGGGCATGGGAAGGGGTTTTACTGCCCGTGCATCAGGAACACCAGTGGCTGCGTTACCAGTGATGGCTCCGGGATGCCAGTGTGGCCGAGAGCCCCGTGTCCCCGCTGCCAGCAAATCTGCCACCTCCTGGGACTCGGCAGCCATTAATTTACGTCTAGGAGTCTCACCTCATTTTCCTTTCATGCCGTCAAAAAGACACAGCGACTGCTGCGTTGCTGTCGCTGGAGCGCTGGGAGAATGACGGATCTCTCTGTGCTGCCGCAGGTCACGGCCCAGGGGGGTTAATGTGCTCTCTGCTGACTAGGGGCTTATGGATGGGCCCCTGCGGGCCAGGGAATTCCTCCAGAACTGGCTCCACGCTGTAAATCTGGACTCAGACAGGCCCTTCATTGCTAAGACAGGCGGGGCCGGGCCTGTTGCAAGCCACTGTCTTACGCGAACGTCAAAAATCGTCTCAGCTCATCCATCCCCTCCGAGGGCCTGGGGGTCTCTCTCCCCATTTTTAGCACTTGATGTATTTCACCCAAGACTGCAGGACTTTACAGAAAAGCTTGTTCAAGGCAGCTGCAGAGGAGCTGTGCGAGTTACTCTGCTTTTGCATGTATCCACTGCAGAGCTAAACTCGTCGTGGTGGCAAAACTCTTGGTGACCACAGCAAGCCGGGCCCTGGCGGGCTGCTCCGGACTCGCCCAACCAGGGCAATGCGGCCATGATCAAAAAAATAAATATAAAAATATTTGATGTAAATATAAATATTATATATAAAAATATAAAATAAAGAAATTGTTTCTGCAAATGCCTGGCTGCTTTCTGCATGCGGGTCCTGGAGTGGTGACAAGGAGGAGTCAGCCATGGAAGGTGGTGGTAACACAGGCCTGTGCGGCACTCAAAGGCTCCGTTTTGCCCTGGGGCTTTTTGCTTGTGGCCACCCGATTCTGCAATGGAGCTCTGTCCTCTCCCATGTTTGCACTTTTATCCTGTGTAAACCCTGCTGGATGTTCAGCTGCATCTCTGCAGCCTGTTTTCCAAATGAGCTCGTTAGGGGTTGATGTTCCAGCTCGCATTGGTGGAGTGAGGGAGTTTGTGTTTTTAATAACCATGGGGCATGTGCTGGGGCTGCCTCCTGGAAGCTGCATTCAATGGAAGCTGCAGCTGGAAATGTTTCAGGGTATAAAGCTTTACTAGCTCGTACTCGGTTCCAACTCGAGGGACCTACGCGGAGCTCCTGATGCTTCCTCCTGCGGTGGCTGCGGCCACCAGAGCCCGTTCCTGCTCTACCTGGCGAGGGGAACAGCGCTCGCATCCGTGGGCACCATGTCCTGGCACGGATTGTTTGCCTCTCCCATCTCATACAGGGCTGCCTCTCCATATGGATTCCAGAGGGGCTACAGTCTTTGCCACCCAACTCTATGAAGAAAAGCCCCTAATTTCCATATCCTTTGGAAAAGTTTCAGCTTCCGAGCTTTCCTGCTTGGCTCTGAGCTGTTTGACGCGCGTTCGGTAGCCGGAGCGGCAGCCTCACCCAGCTGGAGCAACAGGATCCTGGGGAGCTGCTGCCACTCAGAGTCCCCACTCCTGCAGCCCTGGCAAAGTTGAAGGCCTCAGTTCTTGGTGAAGGACATTTGCAGGGGTTAGACCTCTCCTCCCTGCAGCTAAATCCCCTCCTTGGCACCTACCAGGCCCAGGCCTCGGTGCCCGCGGCCGCTGCCCTGCCCGGGAGGTCGCTGTGGAGGTGGGTGCCTGGGTCTGACCACAGACCAGGACGGTGCCACAGCTCAAATGGCCACAACTCGGGTCCTGCTCTCCCTGTGAGCCCCTTCCCCTGCCTCGAGTAGAGGGCTTACAGCATGGAGAGCAGTCCTGTGAGGATTTGGGAGCAGCATGCAGGATGTGTCCTCCATCCATTCCTGGCAGTGTCCAGCAGGAAGGTGGCTGTGACATTTAAGCTGTGCCATTATCTCTTGCCCTGTTTCTTCCAAATGAGAAGCGGGCACAAAAAGCTGAGACTCACCACCATGTCACAGCCAAAGCTGTAAGACGTGGGACCTACCTTGTTGCAGTTGGCCAGGTGAGCTTTCAACCCGGAGACGCTGGAGTAAATGGCTTCACAGCACTGCAGAAAAAACAAAAAATAAAAAATAAAAAGAGGGTTTGCCACATTTCTGCCTCATCTTCTTCTTGCCTTCCTCCATGCCGTGGCCAGGAGCCTGCTGTGCCAGCAAGGCCACCAGTCCAGGCTAATCAGCGTGAGGTTAATGCTCTGCGAGAGGCAGAGGGCTCCGGTCACACGTTTCCTATTAGCGCTAATGGGAGTCATGTGGCCACATCCCTCTGCAACGGGCTGAAAAATGTCTCCCCTCAACGTCTCTGTGGAAAACGTACATTTGCGAGCAGTCAGGAGGCCCTGCTGGGCTACAGGAGTTCTTGGAGCCACAGCAGGCGCTTAACGGAGAAGAGAAATCACCCGGGCAGCAGCATGACCAGTTTCTGAGCAACGTCTTTTCAAAGTGCCTGTGTATGACATTAATTAGGCAGCGCGTCTCCCCCGGCCTTGCGGTAACAGCCCCGCTCCACATTCCCATTACCCAGGCTTTGTTTCAGAGCATAAATCAAGGGCCCAGCGCGAGGGTGGAGTTCACCTCCCCGGGCGCTGGGGCAAGGCTGCGTTTTGCAGCACGCTGAAGCACACACAGCACGGCCCCAAGCTCTGCGCCTACCCACGTGCATCAAGAAACAAACCCCAAACCAGCCTCAGCTTTACCTGCAAGGGGCAGGTGCTGCATATAAAAAGGCTCTTGAGCACGGACAGTGCAGCCTTTTCTCTGTCCCAATCTTGGGAGGTGACTGAGGGCAGCTCTAGAGCCTGAATGGGCAGCCCAAGCTGAACACGCGCTCCCCACAAGGAGTGTCCCCATGAGGGACAGGCTGTCCCTGCGCCTTAGCCCTCTCCGAATCCTCGGGAGTGGTGACAGGTTCCTGTGGACTCCTGTGTCTCAGCAGTGACCAAACCCACCATGGTTTCACTGGCAGCCTCCTCCAGGGCTGAGTGATACCCACTGTTGGGTGGGTTTTGCCCCCAAAACTGCCCCCTCCCGGCCTGCAGGAAAACAGAAACAGTCCTTACGTTGTTGGGACAGTTGATGTGACCCTTCTCCTTCACTTCATTCTTCCAGTTTTCCAAGAGCCTCGGATTTAGCTTGGGAAGTCCTGGCCGGGTGTAATTGAGCTGCGAACAACAGAACATGATCAGCAGAGCAGCACATGCCCGGCCGGCCTCGCCAGGGCCCTGGGACCTCCGTGTTGCCTGGCGGCAGAGGAGCAGAAACCACAGGGGCTACGGCCACCTCGGGACCCTCTCACCTCCGGATGGGAGACGTCCCGGGCGCTGCTCTCCCGCCCGGCGCGCGCGGGGCCGGCGGGTCCTTCCGCCGCCTTCCAGAACCGGCAGGACCAGCAGCACTGCACACTGGGCAGCAGGAAGGCCAAGCCCGCACAGCCTCCGTGGCTGCTTTCCACCCATTAATGGCTATAACCCATGAAACAATGAAAGACTCTTGTGTCTCTGAGTCTCCTTCTGGCAGCGCTGCTCCTTCCAAGTGCTTTTAATTACTGCTTTATTAGCGACTTTGAGGCTTAGCATAGCAGGCTGCCCCTCCAAGCCCTGTTTCTGCCTGTTCAGCACATGCAAACGTGTGGGAAGCAGCGCCAGGCCATGCCAATTGTCCGTACCTGGGGGACGGCTCCGGCACGCGATGCCCGAGCAGCCGCTTCCCAGCTCGGATGCCGCCACGGCCTTCCCACCGTGTTCCATGCAGGCGCAGCGCTTCCAGTAGAGGTCCCTTCCAACCTTAACCATTCTGGGATTCTGGGATGGCCACGGCGCCTCCGGCGTCTCCGTCTATCTGCGCTCACCGGGAGGGAGCGCAGAGAAGCGGCACTTGCAGCAAGCTGCAAAAACAGCCATGGGTCAACTCGTGCCCGCTCGCGCTGCCGCCGCGGGGAGGCAGCCGGCAGGATTCCTTTCCCAGCTGGGATTTTTCCTGAACACGCCGATAAGCTGCCAAGGCGCGAGGGAACGCGTCCGCACAGAGCAGAGCGCTCCGAAGCCCCGCGTGGTGCCCCCGCCGCAACTGGACGCGAGTGGAGCATGAAGGGATGCGAGGATGCCTGGTGGGAGGAGGGATGCGGGAATGCGCCACGCTCGGCACGCTCGGCCACAAGGAGGGATGCGGGAATGCGCCGCGCTTTGTGCGCTCGGCGGCAGGAACGAGCAGGAATACGGGAACATGCCACGCTCCGGTGTGCTTGGCAACAAGGAGGGATGCGGAAATGCGCCGCGCTCTGCGCGCTCAGCGACGAGCAGGGATGCGGGAATGCGCCATGCTCCGGCGTGTGCATCAGCAGGAGCAGCAACAAGGAGGGATGCGGGAATGCACAGTGGTCCGGTGCTCAGCAGCAGGAACGAGCAGGGATGCGGGAATGCGCCGTGCGAGGCCAGCGCGGGCGCTTTGAAGCGCGGGGCTGGGGCATGGAGCAAGCGGCCGGGCACCGCCGAGGGAGAACACACGAGTCCCTCTTGTCACTGATACTGAGGGCTGGGATGCCAAGTGGCCTCCTTAATTAAAAGCCAATCAATCCCATGAATGAGCAAACATTAATGGTAACCGCACAGAGCCCCAGCAACAACCTCTCCCTCCACGCATCCCCCGGGAGGAGGCAAGGGGGGATGTTCTGAGATGTGGATTCCGCTGCTCTGGCTTCCCACTCCAGGGAAAAATCCCTCCCGCTCTCCTCCCACAGGCTCTGCACAATAACATGCAAATCCCTGTCTTCCTGGGGCGCTGCGGTTCTGGGAATGTCAAAGTCATCTTTATGTCTCTATTAAGAAGAAGCCTCAGGCATGGAATATTTTTTTTTCCATTCATTTTCCTCAAACAGGCTGTAAGTGAAAATCTGCATGGCCAAATCATTAAACGACTACAACTGCTTTTGGCCCCAGCCCATCTCCTCTGAACAGTCGAAGGATGTTGGGGTGGGAAGGCTTGTTTTCTTTGACTGACACTTTTATTTAATTAACTTTCATATTTCAATCCTCTTGCTCCCTAGACAGCTCTCCCCTTCCCCAAAATACAGCGCAGTAAATGAGAACCATGCGCGCCGCCTCGGCCCAGCCAACGGGCTGCCATTTCAGCTGAGCCCGAGAAGTTCCTAGCGCAAGGCCCGGCTCTCCGATACCATTCCGGTCCTGGGAATCCACAGCAAGTTTTGTCTGGAAGGCAAAGGCAAAACACGGCGGAGGGCTCGGGATGCAGGGGGGTTCCGACGCACCGGACAGCACCGTCACCAAGTCAGCGCTCAGGGTGGTGACAAGGGACGGTCGGAGGCCGGGTCTCACCTGGAGGCTGCGGCTCAGGCCGGGTTTGGCCGCGGTGACGGGCGCCCGCGGCGCCGCGCCGGGCCCTGCTGCCTGTGCCCAGATCACAGGGCCATTGTTGTGGGGACAGCGCGGAGCCAGGCTCCCCCGCTCCGGAATGTATTCCGGTTCCACATGAGGTTTGTTTAAAAAGCCAAGCGCCAAGATGACTTTTGCCTTTCCGCTTGCTGAGCGGCCGGCACGAAGCCTTCGCTGCCAACAGCCTCATCTTCCCACGGCAGCTGGGGCCCGGCGGAGCCCCCAGCACCCCGGATCCGCCGGGAGCCTCCGGGCTTGGAACCGGCTGCGCTCGGGCACCTGCGGCGCGGAGGAGGCCGGCGGGGACGGGAGCCTCCTCTCCACACATCCGCATCCGCGGCACTGCCGAGCGTCACCAACTGACCCACCATTAACCGAGGCACGAGGAGCCGGCCGGAGCGGGACCATGTTCCCGCCACACACGAGCACATCCCGCCTGTGGAAATGCCGCGGCGAGGCCGGGATGGAGCAGACACCCCCCAAGGCCCTGGCAGCTGCGCTCGGACGCACGGGCACTGGGAACGCATCAAACCATGAAATAACTGGATTTTCCCTGGCATCTTCTCTGGTCTTGCATTTTCTCCTGACTTTTCTCCTTACGTCTGTTAGAGGTTTCTCCCCTCTTCTCCTGGAGCTGTTTCTCTCAATCGATCCCTCAAAACGGGCAGGGGAACCGCTCCTCTGCTGGACACTGGGGAAACCACCACGTCGATGGCCGCTGCAGCTGCCCACTCGTGTCGTGGCACCCGGGAACCTCGGCAGCCTCCCGTTCCAAAAGCCCGAATCCTCATGGAGCAAGGCATGGCAGAGGCTGCCCACGGGGAGGTGATGCCCATTTGGCCCTGGCAAAGGCCAGCGGAAGGGTGACAACGTCTTCGCGGGACTTCTGGAAAGGGGACTTTTCCCAGAAAAGCAGCAGGGGATTTGCCCTTCCCCATCTGACATCCCCAGCAAGCAGCCGTTGTGAAACACCCCATCTGGTTCAGCTTATCCAGAGGCAAATAAAGATCCGAGCGAGAAAATAAGACTCCAGTGTATATTTAGAAATGCTGGATCTGGTTAGCGCAGAAGGGAGGCAGCGGAGAGCCTGGGATCCGCACAGCAATCTTTATTCCGATGCCATCGCTTTGGTGCGAAGGAATCCGGTCCCTTGGGGAAATGTCAACGCATCCCCAGCACGGGCCACCAACGGGATCCGAACGCAGCCTCCCTCCCCGGCTCAGACCGGCTGCCGTCCGGGGGCGGGGTGCATCGTCACGCACCGGATCGCTCCAAGGAAAAGTCTTGCTGCCTGGAGGAGGGATGGAGAGCGCATGTGGCTGCCTTCATCAGCTGCCTCAAAGTCCCCTCGGAGCGGGGTCCGTGGTGGGTAACACAGTGTGGGGAGCCTAGGGAAGAGCTGGTTTTGCTCTGACACAGTGAAAAGAAGCCCTGAGGCTCCCCAGGCCCCGCCGAGTCGGTGCAGCAGCACCCGGCACCAACCCGCGCATCCCACCTTCCTGCAGAGAGCCGCTCCGCAGGGCCGGCACTGGGAGCAGGGGAGGCCCCGCGGGCTCTTCTCGACACAGCCCCACGTAACTGGCACTTGTCTCTCCGCAGCCCCAGCAGCTCCAGTTTCTCGGGGAGCACCGGCCACCAGGACCCGCCGTGGCACGGGGATGCTGCCTGTTTTTCCGATCCTCCCGCGTGCCCAGGGCCCAGACCCGGAACAGAGAGTTCCTGCCACGAAGGCTGAAGTCGGTTCTCAGAAAAGTGCTATTTTGGGGCCTGTAACTGGATCGCTCTGGGCGCTCGCTGCCACGTTGTCAGCCGTCCCATACCCCTAACCAAAGCAGCTCTGAACTGCAGAGTGGTCCCAGGCGGTGCCAGACGTTCCTCCGAAAGCAGCACCAGACCCGCAGGAGGTGCAAAGCTCCCACCAGCCTCCCTGGGAAGCACCTGCCGCACTCCAGTACTGTTCCTCGAGGGAAAACGTCGCGCTCCAACACTGTTCCTGGAGTAGAAATGGCCTAGACTGAACAGATTACACTTGGGGGTGTTGTCAAGTGAACGTGACAGCCGTTGCTAGACGCACACACAGACCCCACACGTGTTTTCCCAGTGCACTGACCTCCTTGAAAATCCATCTGTGCAACACAAAGCCGGGAGCAGTCGGCGAGCGCAGCCCGTCGCTGAGGTCCCGGCCCTCAACATCAAGGGCCTAATTCTACAGCACGGGACCTGCTCTAAACCCTCCTTCCTGCTCCTCTTCAAGGCAAATCTGTTTCTGCCCTTAACCTCATTGCAATGTTCTTTGTTTCTCTGCGCTGAGTTGGGACGCACATTAAACTTACACAATTAGACTCTGAACACAAGAAATGTCTCATAAAAAAATAAAACAAAGAGCATTTCATGGAGCAGTCATGCCAGTGGCTGGAACGTTGACAACGTCTCTGTGTCAGCTCGCACATGGGCCCGTTGTCCAGGCCTGGGATTTCTGGATGTTCCCTCAGCTCAAACGGAAAGTACCCGAAGTCAGGAGCAAGGGGAGGAACTCAAGGACGAGAGAGAAGATGAGTGAGGAGGCTGGAGGGGGGAGAAGAGAGCAAAACACCTCTCCTCCCCGGGGTCTGCAGACAGCATTTGAAATGAAACAGCTACTTTGGGCTGGACTTTTTTAGGTTATAAATGCATTTCAGCTGAAGTCATCTGGAAATCAAACTCTTCCCCCACCAGCAACACAGAGTGTGGGGGAAAAAAACATTTTCCATCAGCTCCAGCACTAAGATCCTCAGGCCTCCTCTAAGACAGTCACACAGAGGCTGCCTTGCAGGGATGATGGGGCCTGTAAAGAAGATGCTGCCTGACTGGGTGCCCATTTTTCACCTGCCTGCTGTGTGCAGATGGGGCACAGAGTCAGGCTGTGCTCCTTCAAGTTGTTGCAGGATGAAGGCAGCACCTGAAGAAAGCACCAGAGCCAGAGCAGGGGCAGTGGGAAGGCCCTTCCACTCCAATCCAGCCCTTGTGCCAATGATTTTCCACAGGGCAGTCGCCTCACTTCTCCAGACCAGCTCTTGGACTCGGTTCTGGGGTACAGTCAGGCTGGGACTGTCCCATCCTCTGCACCCCCCATATAGCCCTCAGCAGCGCTGCGCTCTGCTCTTGCCCTGCAGCATCTCCTGCTCCTCTGATATCCCCGCTGCAGGGCAGGGCAGGAGGAACTGCTTGTAAAGGTTGGTATTGTGAGCAGCAGTGACTGCAGGGAAGCGGGCAGGTCTCCTGCACAGGAGGTCACCTCCGAGGGAGGACGAGCTGCTCACGTGTCTCTCCCTCCCATCTTGGCAACGTGCAAAATATCCTGCCCAGAGCCAACGTCAAGACAAGGAACGCTCAAGTGCGCAGGGCAGATGAAAGATTCAACCCTTTCTGGCAAAGCCGCGTGCTCCGGAGGCAGGTGTGCAGCCTGTGCAAGGGCTTCCAGGCTGCATCCGCATCACGGCCCCGCACTGGCTCGCAGGCATCAACCGAACGATGGAGAAACTTCTTGACTCCCCCTTTTCTTTCTTCTGCACTGAGAAGGTTTATGAGCTGCTGCTGTTTCACTTTCTCATTCCAGAAGAAGCATTCCTGGAGGGAATTTGCTTTCAAGGGTGCTCCCAGTCATCACCTCCTCCCCAGACCAGGTGTGATGTTTAACACATTACTGCAACGTCCCCATGAAGCTCCGAGTTTTTGGGATGTTGCAGCCCCAGGATGACCGTGCGGCACCGCAGGGCCCGGCTCGGTCTCCGTGCCGAGGACTTCTCTGCTTGCAGGAAGCAGCATTCTGAGCTGGGATGTGAGGGCTGGCCCCACAGGGTTGCTGAAGAGCAGGCCGTGCTGCCGGCCCTTTACCCCCGAGTGCTCCAAGGAAAAAGCCTCTCAGCATCAAAGAGCACGGAAGGAAGGAAATTCTGTCTGGAATGCACTTGCCCTCTGACAGGGCAAGGGAGAGCATTTAGGATCTGACTCGAGGCTCTTCGTGTGCTGCTCTGGATTGCCAGCCCTGCCTGCCCGATAGCCACGGGTCACAAGTCCCTCTCCCCACGACCTCTGCTAGACCAGGCTCCGATCCCTCCCCTGCCTGCACACACCACATTTAGCTCCATTTCGACCTGGGTCCTGGCAGTGGAAGGAGCAAAGCTGTTGTGAGGAGGCTCCAGATCACTGGAGGCAGCTTTGGGGAGCAGCCAGTGCTCGACGGGCCCTCAACCACAATTCTGCCTCCACCCTCACTAATTCACTTAACACGCAGAAAAGGAGACATGTGAACGATCAGCTCCCTGGGGCCACACTAGCCCCCCAGCACTCCTGCATCCAGCTAGCACAAAAAGGAGGAGAAAGGCTGCTCACCCGCTTGGTTTCAGGTACCAGGTCATCCTTCATCCTCCGCTTGGTCCAGTCCCTGGCAAGCTCGTCCTCCGCGATCTCCTGAAGGTGGAAGACGGCCACTTGGGCCGACGTGCGGCGGATGCGGCCACTTGGAGTCCTTTCAAAATCTTCTACAGGAGGGGGCTCTGGCTTCACCTCTGGCTCTTCTGGAGGCTGAAATAGAGATGGAGTCAGGCAGGGCACAGCCAGGACAGAGGAGACAAGTTCTCCTCCCCAGGGCAGGCTCTGGGGTGGGAGCACAGCCTTCCAGAGCAGGCCACGGCTGCCCTTACTTAAGTACATGTCCCTGCTTTCTCAGAGGGACACGGCGGGCCGCAGTGGGTTCCCCACCAAAGACGTGCGGTACAACACACGCTCAGGTAAGGGAAAAAACCATCAGTTCGATGTCTGCACCTGCCTTGCCTGGCTCGGTCCTGCCCGCAGGCTCTGCAGCTCTGCAATCCCCCACAGGGAAGGATGGCCCCGGTCCTCGGGCCGCGGAGGCGTCTGGGGGGCTCACGGAGGCCACGTGTTCCGACCGCACGTGGTAGTCGTGGCCAGCCTTGGATTTGTACTTCTTGGTGCAGTGCGGGCAGCTGAAGACGGGCTTGTCGGCCTCGGCGAGCTGCTTGCCGCACCGCTTCTGGTGGTACTGGTACCCCATGAGGCTGGAGAAGTTGGCCACGCAGCCCTACGGAGTTAGGGAGAAGAGAAGGGTTGGGGGGGACGTGGCTTCGCGCATCCGTGTCGGAACGGTCACGCTGCCACCTGCACGGCAGGGGGGACACGTCTCGAGCAGCCCCTGGCCGAGCTACTCGGCAAACCCCGTCCCCTTGGAGCAACGGGGGAATCGCAGCCAACAGGCCCGTCCCAAGGCCACTCCTCCGCCAGGCCTCGGCAGCGTCTTCCCAGGTCCTTCATTTGCAAGAGCGAGGATGGCAGCCCAAGCTCGGAGTCCCCTGCGACTGGCACTTCGTCCCCTGCAGCCCCCGTGCCAGCCTGGCCAGCCCTCCACCCCTGCAGAGAGCCACCACACTGGGGCCTCTTGTCCCACGCCACTGCCTGCAGACCCCGCGCGTCCTCTCTGCTGCTGTCCAGCCGCTCTCCCCCAAACAGCCGCAGCGGCGGCAGTCACCTGCGGGGGACAGAGTGACACAGGGAGCAGCTCCGCTCCCCGGTGCTCCCCATGGCGTCCAGGCTGGCCGGGCTTTTCGGACACGCGCAAGGCGGGCAGCGGGAGGCGAGCATGGCCGGGACTGCTTTGTGCAGAGAGCAGAGCACCCGCAGAGACCAGGCTCTGCCACAGGCCCCCCTTTACCCGTTCGTGACTTGTCTGCGACCGGTTCGTGTATTTTGATGCTGTGCCCGGGATGCCACCAGCAGCACAGTGCCCTTTTCTGAGCGGTAGCTTGAGTTCACGAGGCAGAAACTGCCCTTCCGCAAACGCTCTCCAACCTGTCCTACTTCCAGCCCTCTGGCTAGGAGGGCCCTTCGGCTCAGAGCCAGCAGGCCGGGGACAGCTCCGCTAAGGGGCTCTCACTCGTGTGAGGAGCCGAGCGCGAGCTAAGGGGAGCTGAGAGCGTGCGTGCCCCTCTGCACTGGGACTCACTCCTTCCAGCTTTGCACAGAACAAGAAACAGGAATTGTTCTTATACCTCATTGGGGCATTTCAGTTT